CAATAATATCACAAATATCTAGATATCTTTCAACAAGACAATATTACAAATATACCCCTCTTACAAGGTCCTGAAGTGAATCACAGTATCAAGTTAGAGAAAAAGAATGATAAGAACTCTGAACTGCTATGAGACCCTCTTTATAGCATGTTCTGAGATGAACTCCTTCTTCTTCAAAAGACACTCAATGATCTGTTGAATAAAGAATTCATACACATTAGTAACTCTTCCATCACAGTCTCTATTCTCTTTGCAAAGAAACCAGGTGAAGAACTCTGATTCTGTGTGAACTACTGAGATCTGAACAGATTGACAAAGAAAGATTGATATCTCTTATCTCTTATCAATGAAACCCTAGCACGGATCAGGTGAGCTCAATAATTTATAAAACTAGATATTGTTACCACGTTTCATAAGATTTGTATTACTGAAGGAGATGAATGACTTACAGCATTTTGAACATGTTATAACCTCTTTGAATGAATAGTCACACTCTTTGAACTGACTAATGCTCTCAGTATATTTCAGAAGTATATCAACTGAGTGCTCTGAGATTTTCTTGATGAGTTTGCATCTGCTTATCTAGATGACATTCTCATCTTCACTGATGAATTCAGAAAAGAATATCAAGAATATGTGTAAAAGGTATTACAACAGCTACAAGAAGCAGGACTACTGATAGATATTGACAAGTGTGATTTTAAAGTCAAGAGTATCAAGTATCTGGGTTTTATTATAGAAGCTGATAAGAGAATTTGAATGAATTCTGAGAAAGTCTTCATCATTCTTGAATGGGAAGCTCTGTGTACTGTGAAAGATGTATAAAGCTTCATCAGATTTGCTAACTTCTATCAGTGATTTATATGAAACTTCTCAGATATTATGAGATCACTTACAGATCTCACTAAGAAAGACTCAGTATTTCAATGATCAGTGAACACTGAAGCTGCATTTATACAGATGAAGAAGATGTTTATTAATACCTCTCTGCTGATAACATTTGATTCTGATTGTGAGACAGTTGTTGAAGCTGATTTCTCTGACTATGTGACAGGAGAAGCAATATTGCAATATGATGATAAAGGTGTTCTACAATCATATGTCTTCATGTCTAAGAAACTGAGTTCTGCTGAATACAATTATGAGATCTATGACAAGAAACTTCTTACAATTGTACACTGTTTAGAGAAATGAGACTCTGAACTCTGAAGTGTCTCTGAATTTGAGATAGTCACAGATTATAAGAATCTCAAATACTTCATAACTATCTGTAAACTTACTGAATGACAGATATAATGATCTGAGTTTCTAAGCTGCTTTCATTTTACAATACACTACTGTTCTGACAGCCAGAACTCAATGACAGATGCTCTCTTATGATGAGAGTAAGATATATCATCTGATGTAACAGATACTTGCTGAATGAACTGAGAGCACCAGCTCTTGAATCTGAAGATATTAATTGATCAAGATAGAACAGCTCATAGCATCATACATGCTTCTCTGATTAGAACTGACATTGATATCTTCACTTTCTCTACACTGAATAAACTATGACATATGACAGCTCAAGCTGATGAACTTCTTCAGACTCTCACTGAAGCAGTACATCAAGAAGCACTCTGATTTCCCTCAGAACTATGTATCAGAATCAATATCTCAGAATGCTCAATTGATGACAATAATACTCTATGATTCCATGAATGATGCTGAGTCTCTCACTTCAAACCCTTACACACTTGAATAATGCAAGAGATGCATGATTTGTGTATAATCAGTCATTCAGGCTGTGAATAACTGTATAGAATGATCTTCTGAGAATTCTACTGATCTGAGATATTAAACAGCATCAGACACTTTATCTGAAACTGCAATTACTGTTCTTCTATTATCTTATGAAAGAAATGTAGAAAAGATCTACTGAAATCACTTGATATTTCTGATAGAATCTGATGAGATGTAGTAATTGACTTTGCTATTAATCTATCTGAGAGTAAGAGCTGCAGAAACATTCTGATCATTATTGACTAACTAAGTAAAAGTATAATATTGAAACCTTATGATAAGATGAATACTGAATAAGTCACTGAAGCCTTCTTATGAAGTTCATTCTATCAGATACATGAATTGCTGAGATTGATAGTATCAGATTAAGACTGTCAATTCATGAGCACTCTCTGAACAAGAATCTGTCAAGTTCTCAAGATTATATACTGTCTGTTAACTGTCTATCACTCTGAGACTGATGATGCATCAGAACAGACAATTCAGACTGTAAAGAATTATCTTTATAAGTTCTGCAATTACTTATAAGATGATTGATATGACCTTCTTCTACACACAGAGGTCACTATCAACAGTTGAGATGCTGTTTCAACAGATGTAAGCCTGTTCTTCCTTACACACAGGTATCACATGAAAGTGTTGAATCTTCTAGAGATTATACAGTGTATACTGAACCTCTGCAGTTCAATTCAGATTGCTGATAATATAGTAACAAAGCTCTGAGACATCTGTGACTGAGCAGAGGCCTTCATGATAACTGTGAAACAAGACTAAGAAGATCAAATCAATATTTAATGAGATTCTGCAGAGCAGTATAAGATAGAAGATCTTGTGTGATTGAATCTCAAGAACATACAAATCACATATTCATCTTGTACACTAGACTATCACCATGTCAGGTATAAAGTGATAGAAGTTCTAGATAGTCACAACTATCATCTTGACACATCATCAGAGATTCATGATATATTTCACACAAGCTTGCTTCATCACACTGTCATCAATTCATTTCCTTCTTAGCTGACTTCTGACTGACAGCTGCCAGGCATCATAGGAGAAGATAATGAGCTTGAGTGAGAGATTGAAGATATTCTTGATGAGAGATCTCACAGCCACAGCTGACAATATCTGATGAAATGAGTCAGCTATGATCAACTGACCTGAACTCTGAGTTCCATGTTATCTGAAACAGCAGTTCTTGACTGATGAGAACTGCTTCTGGAAAGGGGGGACTAATGTGACAGACTGCACTCAATCAATCATATAGACTATTTCATTACACTTCATAGATTCTTTCATTCCTGATCGCTGATCCGCGGCTGCTACAAACACATGTAGCATATGCTCCAATTCTCAGCTACTTCTGATCACCGATCCGCGGCTGCTACAAACGCGTGTAGTGTATGCTCTGATTCTCAGCCATTCCTGATCACCAATCCTCAGCTGCTATGAACGCGTGTATATTCTTCCGCCCCGAAGCTCCATCATGTACATCATCACATACATGTATAAATATCCATCTCAATCACTGATTCTCGCACTTTCTCTTTCTTTCCTTCTCTAATGTTTTTATCTTTGTTATATAAGACCTATAATATTATACTAATCTATTCGGTGCAGGCCTCTTACAAGATGAAATACTATAATTAAAAATATCTTTCAATGAAGTTCTTAATAGAAAATCAAGTACTACTTTCAGCAAAGAATATCAAGATAATAAGATTATATAAGAAGCTCAGTGAGTGATAGCTAGAATCTTTCTCAGTAATAAGAGTAGTAAGTAAGCAGACATATGAGTTGAAATTACTCACAGAATTGAAATCAATTCATTCTGTTTTTCACATTTTCTATTTGAAGCTCTATAAGTAATATTCTGAGACAGAGCTGTCTCAGCTGAATGATATTGAAATTGAGAGTGATACTGAATATCTTATGAAGAAAATATTGAATAAGTAAATATATTACAGCAAGCTTCAATATCTCATTAAATAAGAAGATTATTCATCATCAGAGAATTCATGAAAATCACTTAAGTATTTAGAAAATGCTGAGAAAGAGATTGTAATCTATGAGATAACTAGTAGAGACTGCTCTGTTACACATCAGAGATATTAAACAAGAAATGCTGCTTAAGACTTCTTATTTTTCTTAAAGAGTTTTTTAAAGATAATCTTGTAATGATGAGCTGATGTCTTGTAGACTCTGTAGTACTCTTCTTCTATTTTCTTTTAAAGGGTTTTTTAGAAGTTTAATGAGACTACACAAGTGTAAAATTTCTGAAGCAGTTAATAAGAAAAAGAAAGAAATATTTAGAATTAATAAAAAGATTAATATTAATTAACTTACAGACTACTGCTAATCTAATGAGATCACAGCTCACTGAAAAAGTAAAAAGAGAGAATCTCAGAGTCTACTCATTAATAATCATATCTTTATCAAACTCATTCTTCACTGTTAAAGTCTTCAGCACTGATATCTTTATCTACTGAGAAGTTAGCACTGCAGCACTGTAGAAGAGCATGAGAAATATATAAAATATTAACTTATTAACTTATAAAGCATCTCAGTCATCTGCTTCAGTTAAAGTAAGATTCTCTTCAATCAGTGATTAATCTCTGTGATGCTTTTAACAGCAGTGCTGACTGATTTCTTCTTAAGATCAGTTATTCTGAGATGTTTTTTCATCTCAGAGATTCACACTTTCATCTTCTTTTACAGATGAGTAAGAGGAATCTTCTCAGTCTTGATAAAATTCATCAATACTTGAAGCTCTGAGACTCTCACTCTGTACTACTTAAGTATCTAAACTTCTTATCAGAATCAACACAATATCTTTCTATGAGATAATACTTATAGAGAGATAGAAGTCATTGTTACAGATACAACAGAAATAACAGAAGTAAGAGAAGAAATAAATATATAAAATTCTTCTCTTCTTCAGCTGCTTGATGCAGTGCAGATAAGTAGCAGTACTGACTAGAGACTGCACTGAAGCCTTCTCACAGAGAGAAGATGAAGAAACTGCAGGATTCTGTGAACTCAACTCAGCAGCATTCTGAGCAGGGCTTGAGCATGCCATGAAAGAGGAACTATGAATTGAGCTTCTCAGAGTCACTGTTCTCAGAACCAAGCTCTCTCTGAGTTCCTCTTCAAATGACCACACAGGGTCATACACCACTGTATTGGCCGGGAGGGGGGGCAGTGTCACAACAGTGATGAGAGAAGCAGGGGATGAACCAGACACAGATGAACTGACTGGCAGAAGAGATGACACCTCACTGCAAGGCACAGTGACTATCACTGCAGCTGCAAAAGAAGCAGGAGAAGATGTGACAATGAGAGTGATACTCTCACAGCTCATTGACATCACTGCTTTCACCTTCAATCTGGCTTTCTTAGTAGTCATGAAGGCTGCCGCCGCATCATGAAGATGTTTGTTACTCACTAGAAAACATCAGAATAAGCTCTTGATTGTTCTTTAAGAACAATACTCTCATGCACTCACTGTTGTGATTGAGAGAGAGAAAAGAAAAATGTTTCATAGAGAAGAGAATCTTTTCAAAAAATCCTGTCACTACTGTTAGCTTTATCTCTAAAACACACCACTTTTGCAGAGAATTTCATATATAGAATAAAATATATTGAGAGATCTGCAAGTCACTTATTAACTATGTTTTTCACATTTCAAATCAATATATAAGAAACTCACTTATCACACATTTGATTTGAATAATAATGAAAAAAGAAAGATCTACACAGTCAGCAGAAAAACTCATCTATTTCTTTGTATTACATACAGCACATATACTGTTAATCAGTTAATAACTGTTGCTATATAATAAAGATAATTTCTAATTCAGTAATCTTGAGAGTATAGAGACTATACTCTTAAAGAAGAGAGTATTATCACACTCTCAGCTATGCTAAAATCTCATTATAATTTCATACAGCTCATCACTTTCATGCAGATAATTTCATCCTGTCTGAACTAGTTTTCAATCACTTTATAACATCATTTAAATATATCATAGAAAGATCTGATTAATAAATATAAAAATCTCACTTCTATATAAGATCAGCAGATTACTCTTTCTTAACAATGAGACACTGCTGAGATATCACTTCAGTTATTCTTACTTATAAAATGAGAGAAGAGTATCTGCTTATTATCTATATAGAATAGCTAGATGCTGACTTCTCATTAAAGAAGTCAGTGATTTGTTTTACTTCTACTGAAATATACACAAGAGTTACTATGTGTCTCATACAATCTTCTTAGTATACTAAGTATCATATCTGTGATATTCTCACAATAACTCTGTAGCTTACAAGCTCACTATTTAAGCAAGATAGTCAAGCTCACTTATACAGCTTCTCAAACAACTATCTCTACATGTCACCGCTGACTAGTCACCGCTTCGGTTCTGTCACGTTACAATATATCAGATCTTAAAATGAAATTATGACTTGAAAAAAATGAGAAAGTGATCTCATTTAATCTCATTTAGTCTCATTCTTAGCATAAAGTTACTATTTTTAGACATTTTAAGGTTTTTTTTAGACTATTTTTAATTTTTTAAAAAGTAACACTTTTTGATAATACTCAAATGAGATTTAAAGCTATTTAAATCAATAAAAATAATTTAAATTAAGAAGTGAAAATCATGATCTTATTTAAAAAATGTGATAAGAGTAGATAGTAAGTTTCACTGAAACAGTATGAAACTACTATCTAATATTAGAACTATGTAATAAGATCTGTTAAATTGACAATGAGACTATTAAAAATTCTGATTCTGATTTCAAACATAGTCACACGATCAGTCTATAGCTGATTCATAATCAATTAAATGAATAGATAAATTCATATAGAATATAAAGAGATATTTTACAGAATTTTAAAATATATCAAGATAAAAATATTTAATAATTGATTTTAAATTGATTTTAAATTGATTCTGAATTGATTCTGAATTGATTATAGTAATAAAAATAGATTTAATCTATATATTTAAGTAATTAATAATTGATTGAAAATCAGTTGATAATCAATTCAGTATAAATTATATAAATACTTACTTTATTATTAAATTCAAGAATAATTTTAGTATTAAATTGATTTTGAATTAATTTTAAATTGATTTTAAATTGATTCTGAATTGATTATAGTAATAAAAATAGATTTAATCTATATATTTAAGTAATTAATAATTGATTGAAAATCAGTTGATAATCAATTCAGTTTTATTATTAAATTCAAGAATAATTTCAGTATTAAATTGATTTTGAATTGATTTTGAATTGATTCTGAATTAATTGTTAATTAATTATAGTAATAAAATAAATTCAATCTGTATATTTAAGTAATTAATAATTGATTGAAAATCAATTAATAGTTAATTCAGTGTAAATTATATAAATACTTACTTTATTATTAAATTCAAGAATAATTTCAGTATTAAATTGATTTTAAATTGATTTTGAATTGATTGTAGAATTGATGATAAATAATTAAGTGATTTCAAATTACAAGAAAAGATGTATTAATGTAACATAACAGAACTGAAGCAGTGACTAGTCAGTGATGATATATAGAGATAGTTGTTTAAAAAGCTGTATAAGTGAGCTTGACTATCTTACTTGAATAGTAAGCTCATAGACTACAGAGTTATTGTAAGAATATCACAGATATGATACTTAATATACTAAGAAGATTGTATAAGACACACAGTAACTCTTATGTATATTTCAGTTAGAGTAAAAATGAATTACTGACTTCTTTAATAAGAAGTCAGTATCTAGCTATTCTATATAGATAATGAGTAAATACTCTTCTCTCATTTCATAAGTAAGAATAGCTGAAGTGATATCTCAGCAGTGTCTCATTGTCAAGAAAGAGTAATCTGCTGACTTTGTATAGAAGTAGAGTTCTTATATTCATCAATTGAATCTTTCTATGATATATCTGAATGATATCATAGAGCAGTTGAAAACTGGTTTGAATGAGATGAAATCATCTGTATAAAAGTGATGAGCTGTATGAAACTGCAATGAGATCTTGATATGACTGAGAGTGTGATAATACTCTCTTCTTTAAGAGCATAGTCTCTATATTCTCAAGATTATTGAATTAGAAATTATCTTTGTTGTATAGTAACAGTTATCAACTGATTAACAGTATATATACTGTATATAATATAAAGAAATAGATGAGTTTTTCTGCTAACTGTGTAGATCTTTCTTTTTTCATCATTATTCAAATTAAACATGTGATAAGTGAGTTTTTTATATATTGATTTAAAATGTGGAAAATATAGTTAATAAGTGACTTACAGATCTCTCAATATATTTCATTCTATATATGAAATTCTCTGTAAAAGTGATGTATTTTAGAGACAAAGCTAACAGTAGTAACAGAATTTTTTGAAAAGATTCTCTCTCTCTGTGAAACATTTTTCTTCCCTCTTTCTCAATTGTAATAGTAAGTGTATAAGAGTATCATTCTTGAAGAATAATCAAGAGCTTATTCTGATGTTTTCTAGTAAGTAATAAACATTTTCATGATGCAGTGATGACCTCTGTGACTGTCAAGAAAGCCAGGTTAAAGACAGAGACAGTAGTGTCAATGAGCTGTGAGAGCACTGCTTTCATTATCACATCTTCTTCTTCTTCTGCTTCTTTTACAGCTGTGATGATAGTCACTGTGCCTTGTAGTGAGATGTCATCTCTTCTGTTAGTTGATTCATCTGTGTCTATTCTGTCTCTCACTCTCTCTGCTGCTGTTGTGACACTGCCCTCTCTTTGTAAACAGTTTTTGTATTCTGGGCTGGAATTTTCTGATTTTGCATATCTGAAATTGATGAATGTACAATAGTTAACTTTACAGACATAGAAAAAACTCTGAGAACTAAAGTTCTCAGATAGATGTCATAGTCTCTGACTGTATACATCTATAATTGAAGAATAATAATAATAATAATAACACTGCTCTCTCTCTCAGTCAATACAGTGACATATGACTCTGTGTAATCATTCAGAGAGAAACTCAGAAAGAGCTTGATTCTAAGAACAGTGACTTCAAGAAGCTCAATCTGTAGTTTCTCTTCTACAGTATGTCTGAGCTCTGCTCAGAATACTGCTGAGTTGAGTCTGCAGAGTTCTGCAGTTTCTTCATCTTCTCTCTGTGAGAAGACTTCAGTGCAGCCTCTGATCAGTACTGTCATCTGTCTGTACTGTGTTAAGTAACTGAAGAAGAGAAGAATCTTATACACTTATCTCTTCTCTCACTCTTGTTATTTTTATTATATCTGTAACAATGACTTCTATCTCTCTGTAAGTATTACTTCACAGAAAGATGTTATATCAGCTCTGATAAGAAGTCTAGATACTTAAGTAGTACAGAGTGAGAGTCTTGAAGCTTTAAGTATTGATAAATTCTGTTAAGACTGAAGAGATTCTTCTTACTTATCTGTAGAAGAAGATGAAAGTGTGAATCTCTGAGATGAAAAAATATCTCAGAATGACTGATCTTAAGAAGAGATCAGCTGATATTACTGTTGAAAGTATCACAGAGATTAATCACTGATTAAAGAGAATTTCACTTTAACTGAAGCAGATAACTGAGATGCTTTATAAGTTAATAAATTAATATTTTATACATTTCTTATACTCTTCTGCAGTGTCACAGTACTAACTTCTCAGCAGATAAAGATGCTGATACTGAAGACTTTAACAGTGAAGAATGAGTTTGATAAGAGTGTGATTATTAGTGAGTAGACTCTGAGATTCTCTCTTTTTACTTTTTCAGTGAGCTGCAGTCTCATTAGATTAGCAGTAGTCTGTAGATTAATTAATATTAATGTTTTTATTAATTTTAAATATCTCTTTCTTTTTCTTATTAACTGCTTCAGAAATTTTACACTTGTATAGTCTCATTAAACTTCTAAAAAATTCTTTGAGAGAAAATAGAAGAAGAGTGCTATAGAGTCTACAAGATACTGACTTATTACTATAAGATCATCTCTAAAAAACTCTTTGAGAAAAATGAGAAGTCTTAAGCAGTATTTCTTACTCAATATCTCTGATGTGTAACAGAGTAATCTCTACTAGCTGTTTTATAGATTGTAATCTCTTTCTCAGCATTTTTCAAATACTTAAGTGATTCTTATGAATTCTCTGATAATAAATAATCTTCTCATTTAATAAGATATTGAAGCTTGCTGTAATATGTTTACTTATTCAATATTTTCTTCATAAGATATTCAGTATCACTCTCAATCTTGATACTATTCAGCTGAGATAGCTTCACTCTGAGATGTTACTTATAGAGCTTTAAATAGAAAATGTGAAAAACAGAATGAATTGATTTCAATTCTGTGAGTAATTTCAACTTATATATCTACTTACTCATCATTCTTGTTATCAGAAA